ATTCCTGATAAAATATCATAGAAATCAGAATTTTTCATAACACATTTTTATTTCAATGAAGCAGTATTTTACAAAAGAACAACATTCTGTTTGTGACATTGTTCAGTGTAGTGGTTGGGGTATTGTAATGCATTGGTGGTTGAAAATTCACTCTGACAAAACTCTGGGGAAGGAGTTCCTAGAAACAGTGATTATACTTTCCACACTTTGCCTCAAATATGCTACGAAGGGTACACTGCAGGGCTTGACTCAGGAGTTGGAGTAAGAAGTCTTCCAGTTTGACAGTATGTAGACACTATTTAGAAATAACTGCCTTCTGTGTAGAGGCGGACTAAGTTATTTCGGAACAGCACTAGTTATTTTGAAATAGTTTTGCAATGCAGAGATACCCTGAGTGTGTTCCCTAGAGGTAAATATTTGTAAGTATTATGAAGGAAAAATTTTTTAGAACAGATTTAAGTAAGGAGAGAATGTGGATCTGATTCTATGGCTCTGGTACAGATACTCATGCAGATTTGGAGAAGTCAAACAGAATGCATTTTTGTGCAGTGTACTATTTCTAGCATAATTTTTATACCACTCCTTTGCAAATAAACAAATGTAGTGCCTTATCCTTCACTTTTAAACTTCCAGTAATTTACATAGCCAATATTTATTTCTTTGACCTCAAAGTTTGTTCCCTTGAGTTTAAAGTTAGTCTGATTTTGTTTTTTAAACTGGTGTTTTACAGGTGACATATTGAAGCTACAACTATGACTTCATATTAAAAATATTTTTCACACTAAGGGCATAGTCCTTGGAAACTTCCGAGATTAAGCAGTCCTGTTTGCCCCAATCCTAGATATCCCTTACACATGCGGCAAAGTATGTGCCATCCCTCACTAGATTTAACTGCATTAGATTGTTTGCATCTTGCAGAGAATAAAAGTCAAAAGAACACATGATTGTATTTACAATCGGTCTCATGCAGAATACATACAGGACTAGTCTGTATATCACTTCTCTACCAATAAGCCTGGTGAATTGCTGTGTTATGAAACATTTTCCTCCAATGAGGTAAAAATATCTTAATGGAAGTTTAATCTTAGAGGGCCATATTCATCCCTTGTGTAAATCGATTTATGATGTAGGGCTTTCACCCAGGAGTAATTTGGTTCTACAGTTCTCATTTTAAACTATAGGCTTTTTTACAGGCATTTCAACTGTTGCTATAGCTGCAGTGCAGTATCACACACACATCTTGAAGTGCAGTACTGCAGATACTAAAATGGGGCTATTTTTGATCTTTTCCATAAGTGACATCAATACTATGTATTTCTCTTCACAGGCTATACAGTTTGATCCAGAAACCCACCTGCCCACTGTTACTGACAGTTGTACAGGCTGCAATCTGTGTCTCAGTGTCTGCCCTATTATTGACTGCATCAGAATGGTTTCCAGGACAACACCTTATGAACCAAAGAGAGGTCTGCCCTTAGCTGTGAACTCAGTGTGTTGAGGTGATCAGTCCAGCAGTTAATGTGAACTTTACATTTCCCTGATGCGGTAAATTTGCTTTCCAATTAGTACTTCCAATTTTAACTGTATTAAAATACATAACATTGATAGCTTGTAATGATGGCTTTTTTCTCCAGTGATTATTTTAAAGGCAACCTATTTTCTCAGATTTGAGAAAAGCAGTGATTAGTTGATAGCTGTCAGTTGTCCATTATGTGAAAAACTTTTTCTTTTGCAAATATCTGATACGATGATTAATCTTTATAGAGCTTCTAGTTGTAAACATAATTAAGTGAGCGTTTTTATCTAACTACAATTTAACATGCTAGCAAACTGTTTCCAAGGAGACATTCTGTAATTAAACATTACATTTAATTTTTAAAATTTCTTTGAAATTGTAATTAGCTATATTCTACGCAAACAAAGCAGTGTGGCTTGCTCTTTTCCAAAAAAAGATGTGAAAGGAGCTTTAAAATAATATTTCTAATCGGATTAATCTTTTTCAGCTGCTTCAGTATACAATATAGTATTGTTATAGCTTCCTCAATTCAACTTTACATAAGACTTTTCTAAAAATAAATTTGTTAATCACTGATCTATATTGCACTCTTCATATTTGTTATTCATATTGTCTAGATTATTTTCCTCTAGCGAACAAACACAGACACTTCTTAAAATGGTTTAAACTTTGTTATTACAGAATCCAGGTGTTATTTCAAGTTTTGATTAACACCTTTTTTCGGCATAGACAAAGTCTAAATAAATTTTAATTGTGCTAATTAATGCTTCAGCAACTATCATTTAAAGATTTCATTACTCGAGAATAGTCTGTGTTAACTCTCTATGCTTCCCTATGACTGTGTTTACACTGTGAGTTAGGAGTGTGATTTGTAGCACAAGTAAACAGTTATGCTAGTTCCCATCAAGCTAGCATGAGCTGTGCCTCCACTGTTAATGCTGCGGTGACTACTGTGCTATTTATACTGATACAACTCAATGACCTCTCGAGGTCCCTTCCAGTTCTAGTGTTCTATGATTCTATGATGAGAGCTAGCATGAGTACACGTGTGTGAGCTGGGAATCACATCCTTAGCTCATTGTGCAGATGTAGCTTCCATGGTAGATGTACTGAATTATTCTCCGTCCTCCCAATTATTCTTCCTTCGTGGTTATGTTTGGCCACAGTAATCTTACAGCCAAAATGAAATAGAAATTTGTCAGGATTGCCAACAGAGTATTTTAGCCTTAATCAATGTTTAATTCTCATTAGCAGCTTTCTCAAACAAGTTTATTGGTATCTTCTTTATGCATGTCTGAATATAAAACCATTAGTTTCATAATAAATAATAAATGTGTTCAGTTAATTGTGATCAGGAAAACTCATAATCTTTGATTATACACATTTCAGTATTTTCTGTTCTTCGGTTTATATATGTATACCTAATTATAAATAAATAGCATTAAGCAAGTTGTGGGTGTTCTTGCATGTATTCATTTGCTAAATAGGTTTTCTTGTGTGGGGCATTTTTTAAGTTTGCTGTCAGATGGTCTTTCATTATCCTAAAAACAACAAATGGTCTGGTAGCACTTTATAGACTAACAAAACATGTAGGAGGTATCATGAGCTTTTGTGGGCACAGCCCACTTCTTCAGATAACTCCGGTCATCTGAAGAAGTGGGCTGTGCCACGAAAGCTCATGATACCATCTACATGTTTTGTTAGTCTATAAAGTACTACCAGACCATTTGTTGTTTTTCCTGTAACAGACTAACTCTGCTACCCCCTGACGCTTATTATCCTAAAAATCACTCTAAGATGATTAATGAGATAATATACACTTGCACACACATTAATTGTTCAGGAGGCCACATTACCCTCATGCCTCTCAAATTCTGTCCTTTATCCTCCTCTTTCTTTTCTACCATATAACTCCTTTTCCACACACACATTTGCCTGTCTAGCTTTTTTGAAAGGAGTATTCACCATGTAGTATTCACCATGTAGAAGGTATCTCCTCTACTCTAGCATGTTCTGTTTGACAGACTTCAATGATTCAGCTAAAGCTTTCTCTTGTTCTCCCTTTTCACTGTTTGCACTTTGAGATGGTAACAAACATTTATGAGGATTAGTAAAATGTAATTTTGTTGGAGGCCTTGGGCTTCTGTATCCCATAATATATTCTCCATACCTTAGCTAAAGGACTTTCATCATGAGAACAAGCTTCATCTGTTGGGGAGATTATAGGGGCAGGTAAGTCATGAGATTCTCTACATACAGCTTCTGATGCTCTTTCAGTTAAGAAGATTGTTGTCAAGTAGTGTGTACTGGAGTGAGTGCTGAATAACAATGGTATTCACAACCTCTGCATTTTTTAAGTTTGCTCTCAGATGGTCTTTCATTATTCTAAAAATAACAAATGGTCTGGTAGCACTTTAAAGACTAACAAAACATGTAGGTGGTACAAAACATTGTGGGCACAGCCCACTTCTTCAGATAACTCCGGTCATCTTCTACATGTTATTACCATGGTTAATATACATATGAAATGGTGGCTGTGTTATTCCTGGATACATTGCTGTATTTGTCATTCTGTAACTTTTTTTGTATGAAAGGTTAAAAGCCTACAGCCCTCTGTCATGTGATGGAATTCTGTTCTAGGATGCTACACTTGCTCACTCTACCATGCCACACATTATACATCCATTTCTTTGCCATACCTGACTTCATTACTCTACTGGAGCCTGTCACATTGGGTAAATAGAGCTTGTCATCAATACATAGCAACGTAAGAGACTTGCCAAGAGTATCTTAAGCATATAACATAAGTATATGGCATATTAGCAGAAACGTCAAAATCCATGCTTTGCTATAATACATCATTATGCTGGATAGGGCAATCAATATCCTATGTGCTTGAGCAGCTATCAAGTAAATTTTGGAGGAGTAAAACCCCATAAATCATGAAGAAATTATGCATCTACTATGGTCAAAACTACAATTTATTTACTGGAGAGGGTAAGAATGGCCATACACATCAGAAGGTTTTTTTCTTTCCCTTGTTATATCCACACTCATCGGTCATATTTTGTTTCCACATGAATTTTATTCATTCTTTCTAACTTTTTACACTCCGTGGTGTTTCACATGGTAGGAATCCATAAAGAGGCTCCCTGGGGAGCTGCTAAGGCTTTGTCTACACTAGACAGCTTTTAGCAACACAGCTGTGACGACACAGCCAGTGTGGTTAGACAAGGAAGGGAATAAGCATTTGTGAATGGCAATTCAATTGCCAGTATCGGCAAAGCTTGAGTCCTTGTCAGAAAACCCTTTCTGGTAATAAAAACCCGGAAAGCATTCATGTTGTGATGCGGCAAACGGCCATTTTTTTGCAACAATAAGCTTCCACCTATGCATGAGTCTTTTTGTCCCTTTCCCCCTTGCTTCCTGCCTTTATTGCTGACAGTCATGTAGCATGTACGACGGGAGGTTTTCATCTAGTTTATTGGCCTCCAACATGTTTCCCACAATGCCCAATTAGTGACTCTGACCAGCGTTTTGAACTCTGCTGCTCCTCAGACAGGTAAACATGTATGCCCCTCCTGCCCACAAATTACAGGAACTTTAAAAATCCATTTCCTGGTCATAGTGTATTAGAAGAGGAGGAAACAGATGAAGGGTTTAGTCATTCAGGGAGCAACCGGTGCACCAGGCAGCAAGGAATTGTTCTCAAGTCCTGATGTTTGTGAGGACTCTCAGCAACTGTATGTAGATCATGATGCAAGGAAAAAGACATGGGGACATGCATCTAGAAAAAGATGTAGAATATGTTACTGTGCAGGCAAGAAAGGCAGTGCAATTGGGGTGCAAAATTGATCTAGTACAGCCAGGAGAGGGGGAGCAGAGGCCTTGCTGTGCATTCAGTTCTAGTGCAGCCAAGAGGTGAGGGGTGTGGCAGGGTTGGGTGGACTGTGAAAGCACAGGCTGAAAGTTGCTGTTGTAGCAAAGTCGGGGGAGGAGCAGGCACCAGCTCGGAAATTTGCTCTTGCAGCTAGGGTGGGGAATAGCAGCATAGGCCAACCCAGAGGATGTCTCTTGGGGGGCTGGCTAAGCCCTGCCTGGGTCTGTGTTGTGACCAAACAGAGCATCAATGTGCACAGAGATATTTAATAGAATTTCGCTGGGAGATGGTGTTGAAGCTTTGCTTGATGCGCTTATCAGTTTTCTCATAGGCTGTGTCTAGACTGCATCCCTTTTCCGTAAAAGGGACGCAAATTAGACACATCGCAATTGCAAATGAAACGGGGATTTAAATCCCCCCTGCTTCATTTGCATAAACATGGCTGCCGCTTTTTTCTGGCTCGGAGTTTTGCCGGAAAAAAGCCCCAGTCTAGACGCGGATCTTACGGGAAAATAAAGCCTTTTCCGAAAGATCCCTTATTCCTCTTAAAATAAGGACTAAGGGATCTTTCGGAAAAGGCTTTATTTTCCAAAAGATCCGCGTCTAGACTGGCCATTTTTATGCAAATGAAGTGGGGAGGATTTAAATCCCCGCTTCATTTGCAATTGCGATGTGTCTAATATGCATCCCTTTTACGGAAAAGGGATGCAGTCTAGACACAGCCTATGAGAAAACTGATAAGCGCATCAAGCAAAGCTTCAACACCATCTCCCAGCGAAATTCTATTAAATATCTCTGTGCACATTGATGCTCTGTTTCTACAGAAGAGCTGCCCTTTCCCCATTGCTATGGGAAACCCTCTCCCAAACCATTCCTCATCCTTTACTGCCAGAACCAAGGAGGCACAGAGTTTAGCAGCATAAGGAGCGGGGCACCTCCCACCTCATAACCCCCAGCTGTGATGTGTCAGCAAGAGCAATGGCAGTCTGTGAACAAGTACAAGATTACTACAAATTGTTCCATGTGCACCTGCTACATAAGCTGAGACTGTACTTTCTTGAGCAACCCAGGCCCAAACTTATTCCACCCCTGCTTTTAACTTGTATTTAAAAATCACAAGGATCACAGGGTAAAGAGAGATCTGTGTTTGCCTCTAAGGTAGCAAGTGTGAGTTTTTGTTCAGAAATGTGCATGTTAGTGAAATGCTACCATCTTCGGC